CCAGCGTTGTCACAGAAACAGATAATCCTCTGCTTACGCGTCCGGCGACGGAGGAGGAAGTGCGGACAGCTTTGTTTTTAATGAACCCGGAGAAAGCTCCAGGACCAGACGGGATGACGGCTTTGTTTTTTCAAAGATCATGGCCGTTAATTAAAACAGACATTTTGGACCTTAGTAATGGTTTCTTGATATCCGGAGCTTTTGATGACAGACTAAATATGACAAATATCTGTTTAATTCCAAAGACGGAACGCCCAACCCGAATGACAGAATTGCGGCCAATTAGTCTTTGTAATGTGGGCTATAAGATTATTTCCAAGGTCTTATGTGAGCGGTTGAAAAAGGTCTTATCTCAACTGATATCGGAAACTCAGTCCGCGTTCGTCCCAGGGCGGTTGATCTCCGATAACATTCTGATCGCACAAGAAATGTTTCACGGTTTAAGGACTAATAAGTCTTGTAAAGGAAAATATATAGCAGTAAAAACTGACATGAGCAAAGCCTACGATCGAGTTGAGTGGCAATTTATCGAGGCCACTATGCGCAAAATGGGGTTCGAGGAACGATGGATTGGATGGATCATGAGGTGTATAAAGTCGGTTGCATATAAGGTCCTTATCAATGGACAACCGCGGGGAAAAATAATTCCGAATAAGGGTTTACGGCAAGGAGATCCTTTATCTCCTTATATATTTATTCTTTGTACCGAAGTCTTGATATCTAATCTAAAACGGGCAGAATCGGTTAAATCTCTGACGGGTCTTAAGGTGGCACGAGCTAGCCCACCAGTTTCACATTTACTATTCGCGGATGATAGTTTGTTCTTTTGTAAGGCGACAATCGAGGAGAGCACGGTTTGCTACAGATTCTCCAGAGTTATGAACGTGCATCAGGCCAAAAAATAAATTTCGATAAATCCTCCATTCAATTTGGCGATACTGTGGAGACTGCGGTACGTTTGGAAATTCATCAAATACTGGGTATACATAAGGTGGGGGGGGGGTTGTAACTACTTAGGAGTCCCAGAGAGTTTTGGGGGAGCCAAGACAAAAATCTTCAGCTTCCTCATTGACAGACAACAGAAGCGAATAAACGGATGGACATCTAAGGTCCTCTCTAAAGGGGGAAAATAAGTGATGGTCAAGTCAGTACTTTCGACAATGCCCACCCATGTCATGTCATGCTTTCGGTTACCTAAGGGAGTAACCAATAAACTCACAAGTGCAGTGACAAATTTTTGGTGGAGCACCAATACACAGACACGTGGTATGCACTGGCTCGCATGGCGGAAGCTGTGTCGCCACAAAACCGATAGCGGACTGGGGTTTAGGGTAATTGAAGATTTCAACACGGCTTTACTTGCAAAACAATTATGGCGGCTAATAGATAATCCGGACTCACTGTTTGCTAAAGTGTTCAAGGGGAGATATTTTCGGAATTCCTCCCCCTTGGACCCAATCCGTTCATACTCCCCGTCCTATGGATGGCAAAGTATTGTTTCAGCTCGACCTCTGGTATACAAAGAACTTATCAAAAGAGTTGGTTCAGGTTCCTCCATTTCAGTATGGTATGATCCCTGGATTTCTGACTCTCGCCCGAGGCCAGCTATCTGCAAGGGAATTAATTACTACCCTCACCTGACGGTGAATCAGTTAATCAATTCCCAGACTTCAACGTGGAATCGTCCACTATTGCTACAATTGTTTGAGAGTGACGAAGTAACTCTTATCGCGGGCATACCGGTGGCAACGGGATACAAACCCGACTCATGGGGTTGGCACTTCACAACATCGGGTCGATATACAGTCAAATCGGGATATAGTGTTCTACAGGAACTCTCAGACGAGGGGACACTACCAGTTTTCGGACCAGACGTTCGGAGATTGCAAGCACAATCCTGGAAGGTCAAATGTACTACTAAACTTCAACATTTTCTTTGGCAGATTATTTCTGGATGTTTATCGGTTGGCGCGCGCTTATGTAGCCGGGAAATGCGAGTGGACCCGCAATGCGTGAGATGTAGTATGGGAGATGAGACAATAAATCATATGTTGTTTGAGTGCCCTCCGGCTCGCCAGGCCTGGGCTTTATCCCCTATTCCCACACCACCTCAGTACTTCCCCACGGACGCACTATTTTCAAACATGGCACATCTATTCTGGAATCTTCCAGACAATGAAGATATGATGATGTACCCATGGTTACTCTGGTACATTTGGAAAGCCCGGAATTATAAAGTTTTCTCAAATGATGATCATAATCCACAAGATGTGATGGAGTCCGCGTTAACGGAGGCACGAGCATGGGCAGCGGCCCAAACGGTAACAGAAAGGGCGTTCTATTAGCTCTACATATCCCAGGCCCGCTCTATTGGGCGAACGGTGTCAGGTTGATGGAGATTGGAAAATCACAGAGAATCGGGCAGGACTTGGGTGGTATAATTTCGACCCAGAATCGGGATCAATTTTGATTGGGGCCCGCAATCTACGGCGGGGTTTATCTCCATTACAAACAGAATTGGAGGCCTTGGTTTGGGCTATGCAAAGCATGCTCCTCCATAATAAACGGCGGATGAATTTCCAGACAGACTGCGCTCAGTTGGTGAAGATGGTGTCCAAACCTACAGAGTGGCCAGCTTTTGCGATCTTATTAGAGGAAGTGGAGAAATGCAGAATGATGTTCCAGGCGTTCTCACTATCACATATTCCCAGGACAAACAACACGAAGGCAGACAAGTTAGCACGGAGTGCTCGAGCTCAGCCTCATGATGTGTATTACATAAATTCAGTTCCCCCGGTCTCGCTTCCCGAACCGGTTTAGGAACTTAGGTTGTTGACAAAAAAAAAAAAAAAAAAAGTCTTTTTGTAGAGAGAAAATATATGATGAGTTGATGACAAGGTTTATCTCATTAAGGAAAAAGGAATCACTTCCGGAATCAGAAACCTTGCAAGAGGAGGATTGATCTGGCCCACGGTTCCGAGTAGAAGATGACGCGGAGGTCGAGGACCTTTACACAAGGTCAGAATGAGACATTCTGTTTAGAGGAAAGCAAGTTTCCTGGACTCAGGCCAAACTCTATATATTATGCTGGCTATGGCTTTGGTATTTACGATATCATTAAAAGAAGCAGCCGCGAATACGACATAAGTGGGTTCCCTACGACTGGCGGAAGAACTTTGTTTGTGTCTCCTTCTCTCTATTAGTTAAATAATCTGCTGATATGACATCCTTTTACTATTTTATTAGACTGTGATTGTGTTTTTGTGTTTACGGTGCGATATTTAACATTTTCGACATTACGATGCTTTTCTTTCAAGTCTTCAGTAATATTGTTTTTCTTAATTTGTTTCATTAACTATACGTTTGAAACTCAAAGGTAAGTCCACGATAGATTGAGTAAAGAGGTAAGTTTGTACCCTGTTATTTGGGGACATGGTCTACACGAGGATATTTGGATTCAACATTTGGGAATTATGTAATGTTTGTGAAAACATGATACCGAACCCAGTGTTTTATTTTTAAAACGTGATACCTCTTTAAAAAAGAAAAATCATGAAGGAAATGAGAAAGAGCGGGTAAAGACGAAGAGGGATGATGATGGTGCTTCAAGTTCTAAACAACTGAAGGATGATGATGAATATTATAAGATTCTGAATGAAGTTGTAATATTGTTATCGCATCTCGTGATGTTGTAATATTTAGTTTAACTGATATGAATCATCCTTTTTTTTTTTTTTTTTTTACTATCTTCAGTTTGATTTTTTTTCTAAGTTTTTCCCTTTTTTTTGCTTATATTTTACTTATTTTTTTCCTATATATATTTTTTTTTCAGCCAGACTATATTTGATGTTTTTTAGGTTTTGCATCTTCCGTTAAAAATTTATGACTATTTGATAAAGAAAATATTTGAGTAATTTTCTTAAATTTGTTGTATATCGTTCATATACCTTTTTCTATATATGTTAAATACAAGTTTTTGAACTACCTGTGCTCCACACATTCCATATACTACACTTGTTATTAATTTAATTAAAGATTCGCACTTACTTGAGTTTGGCAAGCGTAAATAAGAAAAATACATACTTACAATTGTATAGTGAAGCCATCAATTTTTTTTTTTAAATCATTTTAAAATATTTACATCTACATTTAAAAGTGAGTATAAATTTACTTCCTTTTGAAAGACTTGTTTACCTATTTATAGATCTGTTTTTTCTTTGACAATATATTCATTTAATTTTGACAGACTTAATTAGTTTTTAATAGATTTGTTTTCTTTGGCCACAAATTTATTCGTTTTTCATAGATTTACAAGGAACATTAGAAAGTATAATTTTTACTATAATAAATATATATGATTAATTGTGGATTTTTAGCAGAAGTATATTATTAAAATACTAAATCGAAATAATAAATAAAATACTTCACCTGTTAAGCATATAATAAAAATCCTTGGCTTTTTCTGGAACTAATTCATACTATTTTATTAAGAATCAATAATATTTACATATATGAATCCATTTTTATAATTTATTATGCTTTTGTTAATTATTTTTTGATGGATATAGATTTGATTCTTATTGTGTTTTTTTAGATGTAATATAATCAGTTTCATTATGTAAATATATTTATAATTATATTTTATTTTGAATTTTTAAGTACATATGTCACAATTTAATTAAAGAAGCTGGACAGTGTATTTCATAGTCTTGTGATCTCAACACAAGCAAATGCATCAACTTATATTATACATACCCCTACAATCTAACAAACGTCAGAGTTTCCAACTATGTCTCTGCTTTTCAACCTCGTTGCAAAACTCTTTGTAAGTATTATTTTTGGCTATCAACAAAACCTAACTTAAGTGTTTTGCCACCTTTAATATCTCTCCGTATCTTTACTTTCTTTCACACTGCTTTTGAAAATTTTGTGGCCATCAAACACAGGTTGGAGAAGGTGAAAAGGCCCGTTTCTCCTCATATCCACGAGAAACCCCGTACATGTTGTTGACCCTAAGTTTTGACGAAGACGAATCTTCAAATGATGAAGAAAAATGTATTCACAAGCTATTGGGTTTAAGGAGTGAAAAAATCATCAACATTACTGGCAAGAAATTCCCAAAAGTGCTGTCCGATGGATGCCGACTCCTTGGAACATCACGTGGTTGGGCAGTTTTTATGCGTATGCATGACTCCACCATACATCTTAGCCAAGTGTGTCATCCTTGGTCCTCATCAGAGGCATCTCACAAAACCATTGCTCTGCCTCCATTTAACGCTCATCTTTCCGATACGGTCATAAATGTTTCCAGCGAAAATTCAAATGTCGTTTATTCTCGGAAAGACCAAATGCTCTACGTCCTCCCAACAGAATGTGCCTACATGGCTGCCTTGGATGTCAAGAAAAACAAGATGAGCCCTAACTTTCTAAGGTTACATTTTGAGAACTTCCCTTCGATACCACATCACGAGTGGCAGATATTGGCTTCATGTTTACGGAGTGATACTATGGTAGAGTCGTCTTCAGGAGAACGTTTCATTGTTCAATGGTAAAACCCCACAAAATAGACCCACGTACTATATATATAGATAGGGTTCTTTATTTATTTTTTTCTAGGGTTCTTTAAATAGTTAAGTACTAACAAGAAATGTATTGTTCTTTATTCTGTTCTGTAGGTATGCCGAGCCATCTTCCATTTATGGGAACACTGCTAGAATAAATTTATTCACCAAGCAATTCATGGTGTTCAGGATAGAAGAAGGTGTGGGGAGATACGAAGGAAGCAGAATCATCGCTAACTACACAGAAAACATTGGAGATCTTTGCATTTTCATTGGCGAGAATGAGACATTCTGTTTAGAGGCGAGCAAGTTTCCTGGACTCAGGCCAAACTCTATATATTATGCTGACTATGGCTTTGGTATTTACGACATCAGTAGAAAAAGCAGCCGCGAATACGATACAAGTGGGTTTCCTACGACTCGCGGAAGAACTTTATTTCTGTCTCCTCCTCTCTATTAGTTAAATACAATATAACAAAATTTTAATATTTTATTAGATTGTCATCAGGGCCGGCCCTGACCTAAAGCAGGTGAAGCATAATGCTTTAGGCGCCAAACGTTTATTAATATTTTGGGACGCCAATTTTCTGAATGTTACTAGCAGTTCGGTGGTTTTACCCCTTCCCAAACTTGTCTCAGTTAACCGGTTCGAACCTTCAGAAGGGGAACTTCTTTTTTTTTATTTTTTAAATGGGCGCCAGAATTTTTTTTTGCTTTAGGCGGAGTTTCTTATTGGGCCGGCCCTGATTGTCATTGTAATTAGTGTTAAGGTGCAAATGCAATCTTTTTCTTTTTCGACATTACGATGCTTTTCTTTCAAGTCTTGATCGAGTTGTCAAATTCGGGTTAAACGGGCATCCAACCTAAAACCAATTGGCAATAGGTGGAGAGGTCCTAACCCTTTATATATTACTTAATTATTTCTTCAACTACCGATGTGGGATTTTCCACATTAACACCCCCCTCACGCTCAGAGGTTATCATCTGAAGCGTGGGCAATTGTGGGAACAACAACATCCACAGGATGGTCCAGAATCGACTGCTCTGATACCATGTCAAATTCGGGTTAAACGGGCATCCAACCTAAAACCAATTGGCAATATGTGGAGAGGCCCTAACCCTTTATATATTACTTAATTATTTCTTCAACTACCGATGTGGGACTTTCCACATTAACAAGTAATATTGTATTTTAAAAATAATTTGTTTATTTAATGTTGTGATTTAGAGCGATAAAAAAAGAGAAATAAGCGATTGCGGCGAAATACCCTGTTCTAATTTCTTATGTTAAGTATTTACAAGACCTAACAAATTTTATATATACAAGAAAAAACCCGATAAATTTAGATCTATCCATGAAAACTAACATTTTTGCCACTGTAACTAATTATGAGTCACCTGGGTTAACAATTAACTATATGTTTGAACGAACTCAAAGGTACGCACGATAGTTATGAATTCCTGCATTTTATTATTTCCTTCGGCAGGATAGAGAATGCCAACCACTCTTCAGGTATATACACCCTCTTTATCAGGTCCGAACAGTCCGTCTCGAATAACCTGTGTCTAGCATGCTTTGATTTCTATTCTTAGTTATGTTCCTAACTTCCTTTAATCTCTCTATAGCACATTCAGAATCAGCTAAAAACTCTAGTATCGATCGTTACAAATGGGCCTAACTTATTTTATAATAACAGGCTTTTATCATCCACGGCCCAAATTAATTGTTAAGTACTCTTTATTCGCATTGCTCTCGGATTTTAAACGGTTCTTTACGCCGTCGATCTAGGTTCTGAGATAGCTCGCCGGCGATTTAGCGAGATGGGAAGACACCACGACGGTTCTCCGCCGGAAGACGCGAAAGCCGACGTCGAGGATAGAGATTACAGAAGAAAATCATCCCGGGAGAAAGCAAGCGGTGACGGAAATGAGTCCGGCGAAGAAGTGGATGTGAGTCGCCGTGAGTCTAAGAGGAAATCAAAAGACGGCAAAGAGTACGGCTCTGGTTCGGGTTTGGAAAGTGGGAGCGATTCCGAATCGGAGAAGGAAGAGAGACGCAGAAGTAGAAAGCCGAGAGGGAAAAGGAAATCAGATCGGAAATCTCGAAGTAGACGGAGTCGGAAACACGATGATTCGAATAGTGGCTCGGATTCGGAATCGGAATCAGAATCGGATTATTCCTCGGATTACTCTGATTCCGAGGAGAGTGAGAGCGAGGATGAGAGGAGGAGGAGGAAGAGGAAGAGAAGGGAGAGGGAAGAGAGAGAGAGGAAAAGAAGGAAGCGAGAGAAAGAGAAGAAGAAGAAGAGGAAGTCGGAGAAAGGAGTTGATGGAGATAAGAAGAGAAAAGAGAAGAAGAAGAAGAATAAATCTGAGAAAGGGAAGAGAGGAGCCGTCACTGAGTCATGGGGAAAATATGGAATCATCAGAGAAACTGATATGTGGTAAAGACTCTTGTCTCTTATTAGCTAAATTAACCTCTGTTTGTGGAAGATCTTGAGCTTGAAATCTGAGAATCTTGCTCTTGAATTTCAATATTTGTGATTGTTGTTCTTGAATCACAAATTAGAGATATTGAAGTTGTTGATGATTACTCATATATGCAGGAATAAACGACCAGAGTTCACAGCATGGCTTCTTGAAGTTAAAGAGGTAAAATTTCTCTACTCCATAGAGCTTATAAGATCCTATTTTGCTTCGGGATTGATTTTGGTTATCTATTTGTCTTGTCCAATAGGTTAATTTGGAAAGCTTGCCACCTTGGGAAGAGAAGAAGATGTTTAAAGAGTATGTTCTGTGAATTTCATTTGTCTTTCTAAGTAAATTTGTTTTGGTTTATGTTTTATATATTGTGTCATTTGATTTGATTGTTCAACAGTTTCATGGAGGATCACAATACTGGTACATTTACTTCCAAAAAGTAAGCTTCTTTATCTTGTGGATGCATTAGATGTCAAGAGATTGTTTGTTCATCATCAAGCATCTGAAATGTTGCAGATACTATGACATTGATGGTTACTATAGACGTAAGTTGGAGAAAGAGGTGAAAAAGGGTATGAAGAAAGCTGGGATGAGTGAACGTACTGTGTTTAACGACGAGGAACAGCGCAGGTAACTAAAGATTCCTACTTTTACATCAGTATTCATATAAATACGGTAACATTGTGGATGGAATTTGGTTACAAAGGCATATCTTTTTGTGTTTGTTTCAGGCTAGAGATGCAGGAAGCACGCGAAAAGCAGAAGGAAGAAGAAGTGTTAGCTTTAAAGCGATCAATGGAAGGCGGAATGGTTAGTTTCATCTGTGAAATTTGGTTACTTACTTGCACAAATCTTTTACTGATGATTATGATCCAATGGCAGGCTCAAGCTATGAAAGAGCAAGCTCGGCTAAAGGAGGAAATGGTCTACTTGTACAAGATTGGGGACATGGAGGTTTGTTTAACAGAAAAAACGCTTATATCTTTCTCTCTCTTCTTCATTCTCAGTTTCGTTGTTAATGTAATGTTTTCGCAATAATAAACACAGGGTGCAGCTGCTATACAGAGAAGGTTGGATCCAGATGTTCCCATGTGATGTGTTTTTGGATTAAGCTATCAAGTATCAACATAGCTTGTGTTCCACAGTTCCAAGAATCGAACTTTTGTAACCTGATGAAAAAACCAAAAAAATATTTCATGATGATGTACTTTGTGCTTTTGGGATTTTCACCAAGAGTGGTCAAGCTTTCGCAAAGTAGACAAAAAGAAATATTACTACAATGTTTATTTTAATAGAATGAACATTATAATGTCCCAAATTACAAATTACACAATCTTGCTGCAAATATAAATCTCACAGAATACAAAGACCAACAAAGATCATTACAATCTCAAAAAAGAAAGAAAGAAAGAAAGATCATTACAATCTCAAATATTATAAAAGAATATCACTCGCAAACAAACGATAATCACCACCATTATTATAATCTCAAACACAAACGTAGGAACGTGGAGTAGAATAAAGAGGCATATGTCGAATCTATTTATAGATTTCGATGACGGAAAATGGATTAACCGGACATACGATGTCACAACGAGCAAAGCCCGAGGCTAAAGAGAGAGCTTCAAACTCTGTAAGAGATCTCTCTTTGCCACCCGAACATTGTGTTAACATTGCCATGTCCATACCAAACACAATGTTAGAAAATATGTCTCCGCTCTTTGCTTCTACTGGTGTAACCATTTCCACTATTATCACCTTTCCATTTTCCGGAAGACTTTTCCAACAGTTTTTAAGAATTTTTACGCATTCTTCGTCCGTCCAATCATGCAAGATCTACTGTTATGATTTGAGATTATAACTATGCTTTAATGTGTAACCTCAATATGAAAATTTGTATTTATCTATCGGTTGAGATATGTATAGGGCTTACTTTCATGAAAATAGCATCTCCATTGGGAATTTCCGTAAACATATCTCCCGCTACATGTTGTACACCTGAAACCATATTTACTAAAGTTAAAAGTTTAAACTCATATATAGATGTCAAAGTTTACGATAATAACGACTAGTATTGCATGAAATATTATGACCAAGTTTATCGTTTCTATTTATTTGGCAATTTCATAAAATTTGAATTGTATACATTTCTCATTTGGTATTTATAATCATAGTCATTATTTTTTGTAAACTACGTGTGTATTAGGATATAAGTTTTGAGAATTTTTCCACGGCTAGTTTTCTAATTTTCGTGATTTATAATTAAGACAAAATAGTAATAACATGTTCATACCGGGATATGGAGAAGCACGGGCTAAAACCGGAGGTAAATCGAATTTGATACCCATAATATGAGGATACTTGGAAGTGATGAGACTTAGTGTGTGACCAAGTCCTCCTCCCACATCCACCAAAGTCTTCACATCTTTGAATCCTTCATAAACATTTAGAAGTTTCTCTATAGCGATGGTGGAAGATTCCAACATAGCCCGGTTAAACACTTCACCGAATTTTGTATCAGTTTGGAAGTATTCGAATACTTTCATCCCATGCGCACAACTGAATGCATCACTTCCTTCTAATATCACATCTTTGAGATGTAACCTGGAACAAAACAAATTGTTTAATTTGTCAATGACTATACAAATGTAGTAACTAAGGTATGGTGAGATGGTCATAACTAGTATTTGATAAGTCAACTATTTTTTTTTTATTGTGTTATATGGGAATAATAATCAAAGTACCAAGTCTTGTTATAGACATCGCTGAGGTGAACCATGCTCAGAGGTGCAAAAGAACCCGAGATGTCACTATTGTTTACGAGATATTTGCACACCGGTTCGGCTGCATATACCCTCTCGACTTTTTCGGTTTGGCCGTTCTCTTCTAATGCAACAGTACGGCATTTAAACACGGAATAGCTGGCGAGAAACCGCAGCATCCGTTCTAGCAAAACCGGAGCTTCCGGGTTGCTCGGTTTGGTAGGGAGTCTTAGAGCTATCTCAGAAGATGAAAGCCACAAACCATGGCCTACGGTGGCGATGGTGTCGATCACACCGAGCTCTAAGGCAGCCTTGAGGACCATGGGGAATGCGTTTGCGTTTGACATCTTCATCGCTAGCAGACTCGCATCTTCTTCAACTTGTTGTTCTTCTTTGGTTTGACCCGGTTTAAGTTTGGTTGAGGACACTTGAAAATGGTTATCCATTGTTCTTGTTTGAAGGGAGTGATGCTACTAGATATGTGTGGGTTGGTAATTGGTTTAAACTTTCACAATTTGTGCCATTTTTATAGGGTGAAATCTCAATGGTGTCAGAGACATCTGGTTTGGTGACCGATGACACAAGATTAGATATCAAAGCCAACATTGTGTCCTTTTTTTTCTTTCGCACATTATTATGTCTATTATTTTGATTGTTATGGTAAATTTATAAGCGAAAGTACATGTAGGCGAGAATATGTTCGTTCAATTAGCCATTTTCATTAACGTGGTATTTAGGTTAGCCCATTATGAACGAAATATTAATTATAGTAGAACCAGTATACGTCATATTCGACAGAAAGAAAATTGACTGCATCGGAATCTTTACAAAAATATTAAAATCTCGTGAAACTAGATTTTAAATCCAAATAGTATTGACCGTAAAATTAATAGAGTTGAACAAGCATAATGGATAGAAGTTAACAAGCGAAATGAACTATGTAAAACAAACAGGTTATGCAATTTTGATTCTTTTTTTTTTTTTGCTAAATGCAATTTCGATTCTCTTATATAATTCTTTGCGAGAGGCTATATATTATATCTCTTCTTCCGTTTTGTCTACTTCTTACAGTTTATAACCAATCAAGATGGTGTAAACCAACAAAGAAATCAATAAAAAATTCATACGAACATGCATTAACTACACGTAATATGATCTTGTCGTGTTTCTTATTTCTGGAGGCTCAAGCTATGAAAGAACAAGCTCGGCTAAAAGAAGAAATTGTGTATTTATACAAGATTATAGGGACATTGTCCACATGGAGCTTTGATACAAAACCTATATCGCTCTTCATCTTCAGTGTAATGTTTTCGTAATAATCTTAATACATGCAGGGTGCAGCTGCTATACAAAGAAAATTGGATCCAGATGTTCCCACGTGATGCGTGGATTTTTGGTGAAGCTATCAACATCATTTAGCTTGTGCTCCAAGAATCGAACTTTTGTAACAGGATGTTTGTTATTTTTGGATAACACGTATTCACCAAGAGTGGTCTAAAGCTTTCCAGATAGATGACAAGAAAAGTTACTACGATATATTATATTTATTTTGATAAAATGAACATTATAATGTCCCAAAATACAAATTACACAATCTTACAACAAATATAAAATTCACACATATAACGATCGACGACCCAGAAATATATCATTATATAATCTCAAAGAAGAAAAAACAAAATATATATATCATTATAATCTCAAATATTAAAAACAAAGCTCGCACGCAAACAAACGATTACCACCACCATTATTGTAATCTCAAATACGAAGTAGGAATTAACGTGGAGGGTTTCTATTTATAGATTTCGATGACGGAAAATGGATAAACCGGACATACGATTTCACAACGAGAAAAGCCTGAGGCTAATGCAATAGCTTCAAACTCTGAAAGAGATCTCTCTTTGCCACCCGAACATTGTGTTAACATTGTCATGTCCATACCAAACACAATGTTAGAACATATATCTCCGCTCTTTGCCTCTAGTGGTGTAACCATTTCCACTATGATCACCTTTCCATTTTCCGGAAGACTCTTCCAACAGTTTTTAAGAATTCTTACGCATTGTTCGTCCGTCCAATCATGCAAGATCCACTGTTACGGGATTCAAAGTTATGATTTAGTATTTTACTGATCATTATATTTGTTTATTGGTGAAGAAATATTGTATATATCGGACTTACTTTCATGAAAATGGCATCTCCATTTGAAATCTTTATGAACATATCTCCTGCTGCATGTGTTACACCTGAAAATCTTTTTACTATAATCAAAACTCGTAGATATATAGCTGTGTAGGTAATCTTACGTTGTAACGATTATTATGCGTAAATTATTTATCAATTTTAACATTTTTATTGATTTGACAATCTCATAATATATGCTTCGGGTTCGTTTCTTATAAGAAATCGATGAGTAGTATCGTACTTATATATAACTGTAGTAAAAAAAAAAAAAAAATTATAGACATAATCTTTTCTAAGTGAGATTATTCATTTTAAAATAAATTAAATAAAAACATGATACCTACCTGAATAAAGAGGGGCACGGGCTACCACCGGAGGTAGATCGAAATTGATACCCATAGTTTGAGGATACTTGGAAGTGATGAGCCTTAATGTGTTACCAAGTCCTCCTCCCACATCCACTAAAGTCTTCACGTCTTTGAATCCATCGTAAGCTTCTAGAACCTTTTCCATAACCATAGTGGAAGATTCCGACATGGCCCGACTAAACAATTTGCAGTATTGTTCATTCGACCGCACGTATTCGAATAGTTTCATCCCATGAGCACACGTGAATGCATCTTTTCCTTCTAATACAACATCCTTGAGATTTCACCTAGTGAAACGAAAAAAAATATATTATACTAATCATTTACGGTACAAGTATTAACGCACCCTAGGGTTTTATTGTGTTAGTTTTCAATAACAATAGAGTACCAAGTCTTGATGTTGACGTCGCTAAGGTTCATCATGATCATAGACGCAAAAGAGCCTGAGCCGTCACTACTGTTCAGGAGAAACTTGCAGACCGGTTCGGCTGCATATAGCCTCCCAATTTTTGTTTGACCCTTCTCTTCTATGACAACAGCACGACATTTCAAAATTGAGTAGCTGGCAAGTAACCGCAGCATACGGTCCAGCAACTCGGGAGCCTCAGGATTGCTTGGTTTGGTTGGGAGTCTTAGTGCTATCTCAAAAGATGAGAGCCATACACCATCGCCTGCGGTAACGATGGTGTCAATGACACCAAGCTCCAAGGCGGCTTTGAGAACCATGGGGAAGGCTGCTGCATTTGAGAGCCTCCTCGCCAGCAATCTAGCCTCGTCATCGACTTCTTGGTCTTGTTTGGTTTGACCAGGTTTAGGTTTCCGGTAAATGGCTGAGGACACTTGGAAATGTTTATCCATTGTTCTTGTTTGAAAGTACTACTACTTGATATGTGGGTTGGTTTAAACATTCACATTTTGTGCCATTTTATAGGGTGAAATCTCAATGGAGTTAGAGACATTTGGTTGGGTGAGTGATGACACAAGATTAGATATGAAGCCAACATTTGTCCTTTTTTTTTTAATTTCGCACATTACTATGTCTATTGTTTTGATATTTCTATGGATAATTTACAAGCGAAAGTACATGTGGGCGAAAACATGTTCGTTCAATTAGCCCTTTTGATTAAGGTGGTATTTAGGTTAGCCCACTATTAACGAAACAGATTCCATTCGACGGCATAAAAATCTTTATAAAAAACATTGATTTCTTTCGTAACTAGATTTTAATTCCAAATAGTGACAGTAAAATGAATAGAGTTGAGCAAGCATGCATAAATGGATAATAAGCTAACAAGCGGAACGAACTTTGTAAAACAAACAGATTATGCATAGCAGACGAATCGATGATCTTGAAAGGACTTTATATTTAATTAAAAAAAAAAAACAAAAACAAATCTTAAGAGGTGTTTCTTATTTCTGGAGGTTTTGCTATCGGCGGTCATAAATTATCGACTATTGCATGACTGCATCCAAAGACCTCATCGTAGTGGAGAAAGGAAAACGAAACCCTATTATTGGTTCCTTCTTAAATAAGTTAAACCATGCTCATAATACATCTTTACTAATTTAAAACACCTGTTTGGAGTCTCTTAGGTCACTTCACAGATTCTCTCTCTGAATGCCACGTGGCATTTCCACCAAAATAAATAAAACCTTAAAAATTCAGATAAATACAAGCTTCAAAAAAATTCAGATCACGAAGCCCATATCGCTTTGGCCCGTTTGGAGCCCCATTCTAACACTATGTTATTCTATTCGCCTTCCTACTTCTCCCCCGTCGGCCGTCGCTCACTTCTCCACCGATTCCCTTTCCCACTCCGACATGCAACGATTACGATTCCTCTTCTCCGGCTTCATTGCCCTCTCCTTCTTCTTTAATTCGTTATTAATGACTGCTACCTACAACCCTTTAAATACTGTCGCTGGGAAGTCCAGCTCTCACTACGCTCCGAAAAACGCAGAGATCCTCACACATTCCCGATACCATGGCATCCAAAGCTGACGCTCCTTCTGCCCAGTCCAAGACCTTCCAAGTTCTCAGCCAGATTGATGGGCAATTCTGCAACGACGAGGTTGTCGTTCGTCTGATTCATTTCTGGGAAGCCCGCAATTTCAAGAAAGGAAACATCCTGATGGGTCTCGAGCTCCTCCTCCTTGACGCCGAGGTAATTCATCTCCTCCTCCTGCCACAGTTATTGGTATCTGCTTTGTTAGTCATTCGGTAGAGATTTTCCAAATCGAAATTTCACTTAAATTTGCCTGGGATTGAAACTGATTGTTGTGGATTTGAATGTCCTTTGTAAAGATTTTCCAAATCGAATTTTCACTTAAATTTGCCTGGGATTGGAACTGATTGTTGTGGATTTGAATGTCCTTTGCGTTCTGTAGTTTCTTTGTTGTGTTCTATACTTTCTTCGTAATTAGAAGACTGAAAAGATAAGCTTGATAGACTATCATTAAAGACCGAGAAATGGTATTGAATATAACAACTCGGACTTTGAGTTTCTGACTGGTGTTACCATGATAATTTACTATTTCTTACACCCACTCTGCATTTTTCTCCTAAGCAGTAATGTAATTGTCTCTGTTGTGTTTGATATCGTATATATTCTTCCTATTCTGTCTGTGTTTCCCATTCCTGATGTTTACATGATATTTTAGTACTGCCGTATGTGTCAAAGCCCCAAACCTGCAACTGTGTTATAGCTAATCTTACTCATTGTTGTGTTTTTTATTTTTCTTACCACCGTATCTCCATGCGTCTAACACACTATCTCTTTTTCAGGTTTTATAGAATAACGCAGTGAAGCCGGAGAAGAGGAATTATGTTTTGACGGTGATTGAGTTTGAAGCCAAGATTCTTGAGATCGAAGAGGTTTCTCAAGATGCAGCGTACTGGATCCGGAGGATCCCTCCTCGGCTGTGGGCTACAGCGTACTTCGAAGGGCAACGGTTTGGTCACTTAAGCAAATATAGTCGAGTCGCTGAACTCGTGGATCGCTGAAGCGTCTGGACTTCCGATTATTCAGATGATGGAATGTATTAGGAGACAGTTGATGACTTGGTTCAACGAGCGGCGTGAGACGAGTATGCAGTGGACTTCAATCCTCGTCCCAACCGCTGAGTGGCGTGTAGCGGAGGCGTTTGAGATTGCGAGAACCTATCAGACATGGTTTCTCGCAGCTTTTGATTCTAGGGAAAATAAGTGACTTTGTGGTCAGGTTTTGCATTTTCTTGGCTCTCATTATTCATCCGGAGGCGCAAGATTTGAGATAGTTGACTTATCAAAGGTAAATGATTGTGTGTGCAGTATCATATTGAAGAATCAAAAGGAACTCTCCAATTTGTACGAATAAACTACTTTACCTCCCTTAGTGTAGCTATTGAATAGGCTTTGTCAAATGATGATCCGATTTCTTTTCGTAGAATAATATCCTCCATTGTTGCAGAAATTATAAGGTTTTCTTCCAACTGTTATGTGATATTCTGGTAAGCTAAGAAGATTTTATTAGTAGCCATCATGGTTATGCTAAAGTCAGGCAAGGCAAAGACTTTCTTGATGAAAGAAGGGAGGACAAAAGTTGGTTACATTTCGTGTTTAGGCATTGCTTAAAGTTTTGTTTTGTTAGACATAAATATCTATTGTTCAGTTTTTTTCACTATAAACTAAGATGGATTGTACCATTGTGGACTTGAATAAAATAAGAAAATTTGAGCGATCAATGAACATAAGTGAAATGCAGCCGAAGGAGGGAAATGATGCGGACGAAGCTTTATAAACCAATTAAATTCATATTCTTAATTCATACTAAAATTCATATATTCCATACTTTGCTTCAACTTCTTATAAATAATATATACAATGCATATAAAAAACAAACAAAGAGCATTGACATAACTCTTGAATTATGTTCTAAATGGAAATATATTACCAACGAGACATTCCTATCTACCTAAAGGGGTCGTCTAAAAGTGATTGCGTGATAGTTCTAAACTCATTCTCTTTTTTACTTCTTAAAACTTTGGAACTTAATGTGTAGACATTGGCGAAACACCTTAGAAGACCAATAAGAAGAAAAATTAAATAATTATGGACAGAAAAAGGATAAAGATTAACTATAAAAAAGCCGCCAATTAAAATTTCCTAAAAAGGAAATGACAATTTAGAAAGAGAATGACCATTTCTTTTATAGATCTAATTTCCTACAAAGTTAAAGAAACCCTTATTATTATATATGCTATACGATAGCTATAACTTACAAAACAAAACAAACATAGAAACAAACCTAAATTAAATATGTTTCACATATATACAATAAGTATTAAAAATTTGAAAAACATGTCCCACAGCTTTGTAATGTTTACCGAAGATGCTATAATAAACCTTTTTTCTTTTATATATCAAATACAATAGCGGGTTTTTATTATATAGTTTCCGGATCTTAAGATACATACTTAACATTACAAATATTATTCAAAACTATCGACTGTAATAGGCTCTAATTCACATGACATGTAACTCAGAAGAAGAATATAGATTTACAAACTATGAAAAATTGGGTAAAGAAAGAGGGTTGCTATTATTAAGTATGTTCCAATTGGTTTGAATTTGATTAGGATAAGAGATATTGGTGTCAAATTAAGGCCAACTAAATGTAGGAATATAAATTGAAGAAGTTAAACAAAATAAATTAGAGGAAAATGAGTATTTCTTTTGGTACTTGTTTCCATAAACTAAAACACACTTTGAAAAGATGATATCTAATCAATTAAATATAAACAGTAGATGTGTAATATTAAATATTTTAATATTTTAACACAATAAATTTAATATACGCCCGCACGTAGCGCGGGATATCATCTAGTTCACTTTATACTGCTTAATTAGGAGATTTTGCCAACCATACAAGATAATACATGAATTTGCTTTGGAAATCTCAAAATTGTCACATTTTAGTTTTAGTTTTTTAGTTTTTTTTTTTGTGAACCTTAAATTCTCATTTTCTCATTAGAGTATATGATTTTATATATATATCTAAGAACTTTCTTTATTTCTTCCTTTTTTTTTGGTTGAAATCATCTTTTTTTTTTTAAAGCAAATTTTAAATTTAAAAGTAAAAAAAAAAATTCACAAAATCTAAGCTCTAACCACAAAAATGTAAAACGGTAACAACCGATTTATGCCTCCCCAACACACTACAAAAATGCTTGTTTCTAACACCACTATTCACACTATTTTAAAAGAAATAAAATAATTTGATCATTCGTGCTACGTATATAGCAACACCCTAACATAGATATAGATAGTGAGAGTACGTACGTAGACCAATAGAAACCTTGGTAATAAATGGAGTCAGAGTAAGGAAAATTTGCAGTTAATACTACAATATTCCGATATGATTTTTAACGGAAATCATGGAGATTTGCAGAGTAGAGCGCAAAAAAAAAATCAAAAGAGAAAAGTGAGAAGAAGAAGAAGAAGAAACGGAAAGAGGCTGAAGAAGCTAGGCACATATCACATGACCAATTAAAAGGTGACATGTGGCATTTACAATGTAAACAGCCACCGGTTAACGACGGTACGAGTAGACCAATACCGGTTAAGTAGATATGTGCACTCGTATGTATAAATGGCATAACCCCATAAACGAGAGAGGACTCAAGATTTTAAATTCCATTTTTTAATTTCCAGAATATCGATTTCGCACTTCTTTTTCTCTCTAAAAGGATCTTCTTCGTCTTCTTCAGCACTCTAAAAGGATCTTCGTCTTCTTCGTCTCTCCCTTCTTTACCCTTTCACGGTAATCTCTGCATTCCACGAATCCTTCTTCTTTCGCCCGTTATAACTGTTTCTTTTTCGGCAACTTAGGCTTTTTGTGTAGCTACTTAATCTTACTTCTACTTTTCTTCGATTTTGGGTGATCGCTGATCTTAAAGTTCTGCTTTTTCTGGGATTGCTCTGTTCTTCATCTTCTCTGCATTCGTTCTCTGTTACGAAATTTCTTGCATTTTGACTTCCGAGCGATGAATTCGATTTGACTTGTGGTTTAGGTTTATTTCTTTACAAAAAAATCTGATCTTTACTTCGAATTCGGTTTATCCTCTTCCTCTGTTCGTCTGCAAATCGAGGATAAGTTCGCAAGTTTCTTCCTTTACGACGTATTATCGAATTCCCGTTTAAAAGATTGCAACTTTCTGGTGATTATTAGCTTTCTTTTCAAAAAGATCGTTCTAAACACTAAATTCTAAACGTTTATACGTTCTTGGTGTTGAATAATAGGATACTCTGTTCCCGTGAGGAGGTTGAGTTTCTTGACAATGGCCGGAGATAAAGTCTCGAACAAGTCTGGTTCGTACGATGAGCAAAGCAACGGTGAAGAGAAGAAGCAACATGCTTTCTACTTTGTCAAACAACACCCTTACGTGATCGAATCAGGTCTTGAACAAGACCATCAGAATCTGATCCTTGCTCGATCTGGAGTTATAGAGAAGTTGAAAGCTAAGAGGGTAAAGTTTTTGAAAACTCTCATTTGCAGTGGATTTGGAAGAATACTAAAAAGTTATGAGTTTTGATTGTTCTTGTATTGCTTAGGCTGAGAAATCTGAGTTATTTAAACTTCGGGATTCGTTGAAATCTGAGCATAAGAGATTGAGTGACGTGTTCAATGAGATGAGGGTAGAAATGGAGCCGCTAAAGCAAGCACTTGGGAGGTTGAGGAGCAATGATAATGGTCTCTGTTCGTCTCAGCAAGAACTTAATGATAAGGTATTGTGATTGATTCCTATGTGCTTCCATGTTTTGATCTGTTTCTTCTTGTTGCTAAATCTCCTGTATTGTTGGTTGCCAAATGAAGATACGCAGCTTCAATTACCGAATTCAACACGAAAGCAATACGTTAAACGAGGAGAAGCAGCTTATCAAAGAGATCAGTAGGCTTGAGAGGACGAGAGGTGATGTCATTGCGAATGAGGCATCGAGAGCCAGAATCATTGAGTCTTTTGGTTTCAAAAAAGATATCCAAGATCAAGTTAAGGTAACTGCAAGTTTAAGTTTGTAACTTCTTAGACACAAAATGAAAAGTTTAAGTTTGTAACTTTTTTTATATGGTTTTGTGATGTTTCCTACATATAGTCAATGAGTTGTGATCTTGACGGAGTTATAAAGGAGAGGCAAGCGATTTCAGAAAGGATTGATGAGATGAGTGAAAAGATTAATGCTTCAAAAGAGGAGATTAGAGTGCTTGAAGATGAGCTGAAGATTGTGACTGAGAAGAGGAACAAATCTTATTCAAACATTCATAAGACCAAGAAGCAACTTGAAACGAAGGTATTTTGATGAAACTTTCTGTTCATTTGCTGTGATGGAATGTGAAAGTGTAGACTAAGTAAGAGATAATCCTTTGTATTGTTTCTACAGAATGCAAACTTTAACCAAAGCCGTGCTGTGTTGCAAAAAGCTAGAGACTTGGCTGCAAATAAGAACGTTAAAGAACTTGAGGCGCTCTCTCTTGCTGAGGTTTGTTCATCTTAAATGCTTTCTCTGGAGTTTCCACAGTTTTGTTCTTAAAGTTTACATTTTTGGTGTTCTTTGTCTTTTTTTCACAGGATGAGAAATTCATGTCACTATGGTGCAGTAACAAGAATTTCAGAGAAGATTATGAAAAGAGACTCTTGCCTTCACTTGATGCCAGGGAGCTAAGCCGAGATGGACGTATGAGAAACCCTGAAGTTGTGCCTGAAGCTAGAACAGAACAGTTTAAGGAGGATCCAGTTTCTGGAAACAAAGCTAAAGATAATGGAAAAGCAAAGGAGGCTAAGCCCAGCTCTGATGATGATGAAGTATATGGACTTGGGAAAAAACCGGAAAAGGAAGAGTTAGAAGTTGATGAAGCTACGCTTAAAGAGATGAGAAGGCAAGAAGAGATTGCGAAAGCCAAACAAGCCATGGAAAGGAAGCAGAAACTGGCGGATAGGTCTGCAGAAAAAGCAGCTACAAGAGCTCAAAAGGAAGCTGAGAAGAAAGAAAAGGTAATTACTTTACTTAGTATCCTAAAACACCTCTTTTATTCTTCATTCCTCATGTAACAATTCTTTGGAGTTTGATGACATCCGTTTATTGCCACGTCTTGTTCTTTCAGGAGCGTGAGAAGAAAGCAAAGAAGAAAGCTGTAGTGCCTGAGGAAGTTCCAGACAAGGTTGAAGACCAAGAAGTGGAAGAAAAAGTCGCAAAAGGAAAGAAACAGATGAGGAACAGGATTCAGAGAAAGGGAATCGAAACTCCTCGACCAACACTGAAGCTGAAGCGTAAGAAGTCGAGTAATTACTACAAGGTTTGGGCAATTCTTGCTGCTCTTGTGCTTCTCGTGCTTGGTTACTACTACGCTCTCTAGATCATAATGCAAAACTGAGAACAAACAGAACAGTTAGAAAAAACAGATAGCAGCCTAGTGTGCTTGTTTTGAAAAAAGGTTACCACTGATAAAAGTGAGACGCTATCTCAAAGTCTTGAGCTTTGTTTTTGTATTCTCAAGGGTTTGAGCTTTTAACGAATATGCAACATAGAAACAATTTTTATGGTAGTACTCAAAATATTATTTCTACATTTTGTTCGGTTTTAGTATTGTTCTTTCAAAATGTTAGTGTTGAAGGTGACTATATTCTATTGGGTATGGTTTGAGATTTTGATTATAAACATGATTCAGCTGCGTTATCTTTTGAGCTATAGATAATTTTTACATCATATATTGGAAAATCTATGCCTTAAAACATAAATGATACATCGATTGAAAAATGTGAAAGTGGAGTGATGATCATATGTAGTAATATATAAAAATAGGACGATAAGATTTCAAGAAACTACATACATTAGTAAAGTACATTGGAACTAGTCTACAACGGTTTTGCTCGTCTCGTGGTCAAATCTCCCTATCCAACTGGAGACTATCAATCCAAAAACGCCACTTGTCAAAGACTAACAAACAATCTTGGTTCCACGTGGAGGTAGCCTCAAGGGTCCCACAAGTATATAAACATCTATGTGTTATTGCTCTTTTCCTCACAATTCACAATTACAAAGCTAAAAAGTTCTTAAAAATCAAATTAAAGGTTCCCTTTTTTGAAGATGTCTAACAACAGTCAGAGCATGAGCTTCCAGGCTGGCCAAGCTAAAGGCCAAACCCAGGTTTTGTTCATACCACACCGTTTCTGAAACTTATATAGTAATTGAGCTAATGTTTATACTAATGAGAGGTAACTAAAATTGTTGTAGGAGAAGGCAAGTAACGTGATGGACAAGGCCTGCAATGCTGCCCAATCTGCTAAGGAATCAATTACAGAGGTCCATTTTCCTTCTCTTTTCCTAAAATACCTTTTCTTGTATTCATGAGGATTCGACCAGAGTAATGTAATAAATTTTGGGAATTTTCGTAAATGTAGACTGGACAGCAGATGAAGCAGAAGGCACAAGGTGCGACTGATGCCATTAAGGAAAAGACCGGCATGAACAAATGAGAAGCACGTTCCAAATAATAATTTTCATGTTTCGTTTTTCATTTTTTTTTCTACACGAATAATAGTTAGATAGATTTGTCTATCTAAAGCATAATACTATATGGATTTCCATAGAAGCCATTTAGGCAATTGTTTTTTTATTTAATATATATCCAAGGGTTGATGTTTGTCTCTTGATTAATCTTGTAGTCTTCAAGTTCTTTCTATGTTTAATAAACGTATTGAAATTTAAAAATACATGATCAACTATAGCTTTAACAAGTTGTTTTCTTTGTTACTACGACCAGGCAAGTTATACGTTGGATTGTATTCGATTGGAGACAACATATTTAAATTGCGGAACCTATTGCTACACCTGAATGTTGTGTATGTGCATGTAATGGTCGAGTAAGATTGTGCACTTTGATCATTGTGATATATATCTAGAAATATTAGACCTTTGTAAATAGGGTTATTTTTTTTTTAGAAGACTTTGTTTTCCTTGATTTTCTATATAATAACTAATAAGATCGATAAATATGCTTGCTTTGCATGTTTGTGCAATAAGAGGGAATCTTTAACCACTTGGGTTCTAGAAGACACTAATGATTTGAAGTTTGAAAGAATTTGATCCTTCATGGAGGGACGACAATTTTCACCAATTGGAATACGAGTCCCCACAATTCTTACTTTTATCTTATTCTTTTTCTCCTTTTTAGGCTTCTTAATTTTTTTATTGTTATTCTATTGACATTACGATATATTTTGGTAAAAAGAATTGGATACGATCTCCATTTTTTTAATCTTGTTTCCTCATGTGCTCACACACTAGTTTGTGTAAATGTTGTTGTAATCACAATAAGGAGAACATATTCCAAATCATATAGGTTTAAATGTTATTTACAAAAAAAAAATAGAGAGTATATGTACTGCATTTTCTATTGGTAAATTGATATTAAAACCTTTAAGTACAATATCGTCTCAAACAAATTGACCTTTATGCTATACACGTTAATTAATCTCATAAAAATTGAAATAATTTAAAACTATCTAGTACAACGTCTTGTCAAAAACAAAATTTATGCTTATTCATACACGCTATAACGAACTATTATTGATATTCCTTTTTGGGTAAGAAAGAAAACAAGTGGGTATATATAAGTGGAAATTATAGTAGTACAACATAATTATAGATGAATAGATACAAGGGAAAAAATGCAACTAACCCTCATTATAACAAAAACTACAAAATAACCTTCTATATGACTAAAAACTAAAACATTATGTTTGGATTCTCTTTTTCCAATTTAGAGTTTGGATTTCTTTGATTAAATAGATTTTGATTCATTTTGAATTGAATTTATGTTATTATTGAAAATGCGTGACTTTTTGTAGTTTGATGTTGATATCACATGATTTGGTAATTGGAAAGTATTTTTGCGTTTTTCCCTGGATAATGTGATGTTTCAAACAAGTATATAAAATTTTCTAAACGTTACAAGTTCATGTACTTGAGATCATATGCTACCATGAATACTTGAAAGACAAAAAATATTTCAAATCTCATGTGGGGTCGTAAATCATAGACATTTAGATCTTATCCCGTTATTGTAGACAACAAAAAATCATTATTAATTGTCGATCGTAATAATTTTTTAACGAGTGTTGATATAACTATATAAACTGTAGTTACAAATTGTTTCCATTAAACATATAATTATGTAAAGAAGAACATACAAATAGCTTAAATTTCCGTTTGATGAGAGAACAACAATGAGCATGTCAAGGAAAAACTAAGAACGTCATTGTTAACATTGAGTATATATGAGTATAGAATCTAAAAGAAAATTCTCAATAATTGTTCTTCTACCGATATGAATTATTCTAATATCATGTTGCCTGGCGTCATCAAATTCCAATAAACAGTATATATCACCATGGTTTTAGAAACCTGATTCGATATTCTCTAATACACGATTCTTTATAAATATCTCAAAATAGGTATTTATGTATTTTTTCTACTTCAATTTCAAAGTCGTAGTTTGGATACGTTGATGTTGAAATAGTGTTGGCTAGTCTCAGATTTGTGGTTCTTTTCATTTCCCTTTTATTTTGTTTAAAACTTTGAATGTATTTTTAATTTGTATTTTCTTTTAAAATCCTTTAACCAAAATTGTGGATGATTGAATTTTTTTTATCAAGCAATGTCACATTGGTAATTGATCACCTTTGTGGTCGAGCACAGGACACCACCATCACATTTTTTTACCATTGATAACGACCTTCGCATCCACTGTTTCTGCATCCTCTATAAGATCATTTATAATACTATGTTTCAACACAGACTATGGTAAGTTTTGGTACGTATTAGACAAGTAATGTTTGGCTATAAAGACATAACTGTGATAAAAATAAAAATAAAATCAATAAAATTTTGGTGGATATATATAATCGCTATTTCATACCAATAATTTTTTTTATAATGCTTATTATCTCACCAAATTTGTAACAGATTGATGATGGATTTAAAATGTTCAAATACATCAGTATTTTCCACCAAGTACCAAAAGCTACACCCTTTCTCAAAGAAAAAAAAGCTATCGAAAGCTATCACGTACGTGGTCATTATACCGGATTAATTATAAGCGTGGAGATAGTAGTTGGACAACAAAATCTAGATATCAATTTAAACGTGTTAACTTGGTCAGTTGTTGGTAAATTCTATATCAAAATATATGAAGGAGTCAACATTTTCAAATGAATTAATTAACTTAGTGAAGGTCAGATCATGTGAATTAGATAGGGTTGTGTCAATTAATATACGACTTCATATTTATCAACTTGAACTTATTATTATATATATGTTTTATCCCCCAAAAAAAACTTGAACTTAATTATCTAAATTGTGAGTTAAATGAGTCAATTCAAGCTAAATATATTAAAAACAAATACTGTCTAAATATATATATATATATATATATATGAAAAATATGCCAAATGAAAAATAATCCACACACATACACAAATTGATGGATATTTTCAAACAGTTGATGATTTGTATAAGGAGAAATGATGATGATGTTTAGATGTTTTTTATTTTGAAAAAGAGGAAGTATCACTTACATATTACTCAAAATAAAAAGAAAGAAAGAATGAATTTCTCTCCCAGGCCCTCTTCCCGAGATCGGTACTTACCCAACTGACCTGTCCCGATCGTAATCTTTACCCAGCAGTTTCTTACCTCTTTTAGCTGCTTTTTTCAAATTAGAGCCGTTCCTGGTTTCCCGAACCCGGGTTCCACCCCCGACTTAGTCGGAGGGTCCGCCTTTCACCGCCGGTAAGCTTCTTTTCTCCTCGTCCTCTCATCCTCTCCGCCTTTCTTCCTCCGCTCCCAGAGTAATCCCTTCTCGCTACGCAATGGCAAGACATTTCTCGTACGCTGAAAAAGGCAAAGGCATCGCGATCTCTGCTTCAGTCTCACCACGACTTCGTATCCGAGCTCCCGCTATGGACAACACCGACCTAATCGAAAAGAATGGCCTAACTCTAATAGGCCGACTCACCAACCCTCAAGAGCAACGCATGAGGTCAATGCTTCCCTATTTCTCAAACAAATGGGAACTCAGAGGTAACGCTATTGGCTCTGACCTAGGCAACGGCAGCTTCCAGTTCCGCTTCGATTATGATGAGATCTGAGGAAAGTTCTTGAGAATCGCCCTTACCAGTACTTCAGATGGATGGTAATCCTGGAAAAATGGGAGCCGATAATCTCACCAGCATTTCCCTCTCAGATCCCCTTATGGATCTCCCTGCGAGGACTCCCACTTCACTACTGGAAAAGAGAGCTTCTCTACAGCATCGGTGACAAGATAGGTAACCTAAAATCCTTCGAGTTAACGTCGTCGTCTGCAAAGATAAAGAGTGGAAATCAACGGGCTAGAGCCAATAACAAAAGAGGCTATCATAGAATTCGAAGGAGGAAGCGAAGCCCTAGTTACCTTGGAGTACCATAAGCTGGACAAGCACTGCCTCTACTGCCTCAAACTCACTCATGAAGAAGACGTTTGCCCGGAAAACCCTAAACCTAGGCTCAACCACCTTCCGGAGAAACACATAACCACAGAAAGACCAAACCACTTAAAACCACCCCTGTTCTCGAACTTCGGAGAGCAATCTCTCTCAAACCACCTCCAGAACTATGAGACCCGGAGAAAAGATCCCTTACCCTCTCGCCGTCACCGAAGCTCCCAGACCCCACCTCGCCCCTGATCTACAAGAGAGACACGTCCCTCTCCACCTCCTACCACCTCTAACCGGAGAAACTTCTCTCCCCAATACCAGAGAGATCGTCACACATCTCACGGTCGTCTAACTGGCCGAGAAGCTCGAGAGGCACCACGGCAGAGATTCTCGCAAACCAGAAGGAGAGAAGCAAACCCCTCACCAAGACGGTTCCCACACCAAATTTGGAGAGAAAAGTCACCACGGAGAAACGAAACCTCTGCAGATAACTTCGCCTCTAGCCAAAGAAGAGAAACCCAATAGGCAGGAACCTAGAGCAAGAATTCCCCTCTCTCCAGCTAAGGAACCAGACAGAGAATGAGATCCTACAAGACCTCCAAGAGGTGGATATCCGCTACCTGAACTGTGGCGATCCGGCGGAGAATGCAGCCCAGAGACAAAGGATTTTAGAAAGTAATGTCAATGGTATGAGGGAAGAAACGGTTGCTTTCCTTTACAACGCCCCGTCCAACCTCATCCCGGCAGAAACCCCTCTCCAACCGAACCAACTGGCAAATCCTCAGCTCCCTCGGGAGGCAGCGGCCATTTCGCCAACAAGAGACGTCCCCTTGGATGAGCCAGAAAGAGACCTAACTCTAGACCCACCACCAGCAAGAAAAAGAGGAAGACCGCCTTCCAAAAACCAAGCTACGTCCTCCCGTAAACAACCTGCAGAGGGTACATCCAAACGCAAAACAAAAAATTAGTTAAGATCTCCCCTGCTCAGAATCTCACCCCTGTCTAGGGTCATTCAGAACAGAACCATGACTACTCCCCAAAACCAACCTACGAGAAGACGAGGCAATGACTCAGGTCCATCCCAAGCTAGACTTCCCCCACGAGCTCGCACTGTTCCGGCAAGACTGAAAGATGGGGCGGATTTTCAGTCCCCGAGAAGTCCTCTTCCTTAGCGCTATTGAGCTGGAACTGTTGTGGGTTTGGGAACCCCATAACAGTTCACCGCCTGAGGGAGCTAAACAAAAAGCATGCTCCAGATATTCTCTTCCTCATGGAGACAAAGAACAATGAGGAATTCATAAACAAGGAAGTACCTCTCCCGGAATTTGGGTCCAAATTCTTGGTACCGCCTCACAGCCCTGGTGGAGGTGGTTTAGCCCTATTCTGGAAGCAAGAAGTAGAGCTCACCGTGCTATCATCCTGTGACAACTACATTGAAACCACAGTAACCTACAAAGAAAAAATTTTCATCACAACCTTCGTCTATGGTGAACCTGATCACTCAAAGAGAAAAGGAATCTGGGAAGAGCTTACAGCAAAAAACGTTCCGAGAGACCAACCTTGGTTCCTAACCGGAGATTTTAACGACATTCTAGACCACAGTGAAAAAACGGGGGGTCCGGTGAGAGCGGAAGGCACTTTTGGAGATTTCAGGGCTTTCCTATCCCAAGGGGATTTGTTTGACATCCCCTACGCGGGAAACCCTCTGTCGTGGCGAGGAGTTCGCTACACCCACCTTGTCCACTGCCGTTTGGACAGGTCCATGTCTAATGGTGCATGGGCCGATGTCTTTCCTTTTAGTAGATGCCACTACTTGGAGTTCGAAGGATCGGATCATAGACCGCTTCTAACCATCCTAGAATCACAGATAAGGAAAAAAAGAGGAATCTTTAGGTATGACAGAAGCATGAAGGAAAACCCAAAAATTACTAAGATTGTGGAGAAAGCATGGCACCTGTCGAATACAACTTCTGTGGAGCAGCGCATTTCGCAGTGTAGAAAAGGAATCTCGAAATGGAACCGGGAACACCACCTAAATGCACAGAAAGCCATAAAAGAGGAGAAAGCAAAACTTGAAGAGGAGATGAGCTCCAGTATCCTAGACCAGGGAAAGATTGAAGAAATCAATGAAAACCTGAAGATTGCCTACCGAAAGGAGGAGGATTATTGGAGACAACGCAGTAGAACTCAATGGCTTGCTCTAGGGGATAAGAACTCCGGCTACTTCCACGCTGTTACGAGAGGCAGGAGAGCTGTCAACAAATTGGCAGTAATTGAAGACTCTAATGGAATAGCTGTGTTTGAAGAAGAGAAAATAGTTCAAGTCATTAGTGCTTACTTTCAGGATATCTTCATTACACGGTCTTCAAATTGTGTGGAAACAGTCAACAAAGCCCTCGAACCATGCATCACTGATGCAATGAATGCGGCTTTGACAGCCCAACCATCGCCTTCAGAGATCAAAGAAGCCCTCTTTTCCATCAGCCCTGACAAAGCTCCTGGCCCAGATGGTTTCTCCGCCTGTTTTTTTCAGTCAAACTGGTCAATCATGGAGGCACAAATAGTAAAGGAAGTGTCAGATATTCTCTCATCAGGCATCCTACCAAGCTCTATCAATGTAACCCATGTAAGGCTTATACCCAAAACCCCCAGCCCTAAAACCGTGGCTGAATACCGACCTATTGCCCTTTTGCAATGTATATTACAAAATCATATCAAAGCTCCTAACCAAAAGACTACAACCAATCCTACCAGCTATCATATCGGAAAATCAGACGGCGTTTGTACCAGGCAGGGCAATCTCAGACAATGTCTTAATTACTCATGAAATGTTGCATTACCTGAAGTCCTCGGGAGCAACAAAGCACTGTTCTATGGTCGTCAAAACTGACATGAGTAAGGCGTATGACCGCCTGGAGTGGAGCTTTATAGTGGCGGTGATGGAAAGAATGGGTTTTCACCCTCGGTGGATCAACTGGCTCTTTCAATGCATCTTTCCTCATAAATGGTACGGCACAAGGGCAAGCAATACCGCAGCGAGGTATTAGACAAGGCGACCCGCTTTCCCCTTTCATCTTCATCCTTTGTAGCGAGGTCCTCTCGGGTCTCTGCAAAGCAGCACAAGTTAGTGGATCTTTACCAGGGTTAAAAGTGGCACGTAGAAGTCCTAACATTAACCACCTGCTTTTTGCCGACGACACTATGATCTTCTGTAAAACCAACCAGAAGTGTTGTGTGTCCCTCTCCGCAATCCTTAAAAGCTATGAAGAAGCTTCATGACAAATGATCAATCTCCAAAAGTCCTCCATTACCTTCTCAAAAAAGAAACCACAAGACATCCGAGACAGAGTGAAGAACTCAATTGGAATTACAAGAGAAGGGGGCCAGGGAAAGTATCTAGGCCTATCTGAGAGTTTTGGCCGAAGGAAAAAGGACCTCTTCAACCTTATAATCGATCGCATGCGACAACGCTCAATTAGCTACTCCTCGAGATTCCTTTCAAGTGCTGGGAAGCTAGTCATGCTCAAATCCGTGCTTTCGGCAATCCCCACCTATTCGATGTCGTGCTTCAAGCTACCTGCAGAGTTATGTAAGCGCATACAATCATCGCTGACTAGGTTCTGGTGGGATGATAAACCCGATAAGAAAAAAATGTGTTGGCTCTCATGGAGAAAACTTACAAGATCCAAGAAGCAAGGGGGACTGGGTTTCAGAGATATCCAAAGCTTCAATGATGCCCTCCTAGCGAAGATTAGTTGGAGAATAATCCAAAACCCTGATTGCCTTCTCAGCCGAGTCCTCAAAGGGAAGTATTGTCTGGACCATGATTTCCTCTCGGTGAAACCCAATTCTTCACCATCCCACAGATGGAGAGGAGTCCTAATTGGACGAGACCTCATCGTGAACCAGCTAGGACGGGTTATAGGAGACGGTCTCTCAACCTCCCTGTGGATGGACCCATGGCTCTCTACGGAACATCCAACCAAACCTACTGGACCACCAAACAAAAACCAAGAAGATCTGAAGGTTGCAAGTTTGCTAAAAGAGGAGACCAATGATTGGGATAGAGAAAAGATCCAGCAAATCCTACCTCACCTCTTGGAAGAAATTTTGAAAATCAGAACAAGTCGGAAAGGCGCCCACGACTCCTATGTGTGGCTTCTGACAAAATCTGGGGAGTATTCCGTCAAGACAGGCTACTACGCCTCTTTGTCTATGCATGAGCTTCCTGAAGACTACCAATCTATTCAACCAATCAACTGGATTTCAGTCATTTGGCAAGGCAAATTCTCTCCTAAAATGAAAGTATTCTTGTGGAAAACAATCCAGGAAGCGTTACCTGTGGGCGAAAATCTCCTTAATCGTGGCCTTCTAGACAACGCTTGCTGCATACACTGCGGCGAGTTGGAAACTACGGAACACCTGTTTTTCCGATGTCCATATGCTTCCGAGGTCTGGATCCAAACACCGCTCACCACCACCGTTAACCCAAACCAAAACCAAACTTTTGCGGAGACACTGATCGCGTCAAGAGCCTGGACCTGCCTACCACCCACGGGCTTAGGATCTGGTCCGCTTTTCCCCTGGATTTGCTGGTCTATATGGAAGGCACGCAACACCCTCATCTTCGAAGACCGGCGCATCCCACCTACAGAAACTGTTCTAAAAGCAATCAGAGAGGCAAAGGATTGGCAATCGGCTCAGATCTTGAAAAAATCAGTAACCAAGAGCTTTACCTCTCCCAACCCACAACCAGGAGAGTCCGGAATCGTTACATGCTTCTCAGACGGAGCCTGGTGCAAGGACACTGGCATCGGAGGTTTTGGCTGGATCTTCGTCGACACAAACAGAGCGGAAGTGAACAGAGGGTCCTCAGCAGAACGATTCGTCACATCCTCGCTTATGGCAGAAGCGCTATCTATTCGATCTGCCCTAAACCACACCCTGGAGGAAGGAATTAGCAACATCCACCTCAAATCCGACTCGCAAGACCTCATCCGAGCCCTGAACATGCATGTCCAGATCAAGGAGATCTATGACATCCTTTTCGACATCCACTCCCTTGCTTCTTTGTTTACCTCGATCTGGTTCGGTTTCGTACCTAGATCCGAAAATGCATCGGCTGATTCGATCGCCAAGTTTGCAAAATGTCGTTTAATTTCCTCGTCTTCATCTGGGCCCCATCCCGGTTTGTAGTTGGAAAGACTTTAATGGTTTAATGAAATGTCTGTGTTGTTAAAAAAAAAAAAAAAAAAAGATGTTTAGATGTTTTGTAGATGTATATTGTATAGAGTCTTCGGAACACGAATCTAACAATTAGGTTTTTGTGAGAATTTTTATTTCTCAAAGGCAAAAAAAAAAAGTTTTAAGAGAGAGACAAGGAGATGGGTCCATGACACCTCACTTTTAAAGTCTTTTTAATTGTCGTCGCACGACAAAACTAAACAACATTACACATTATTCACATCAGCAACTTCCACTCGTCTTCTTCTTCTCCTTCAATCATTCTCTATCTCTCTCTCTCTCTCCCTTTCCCTCTTATACACAGAGAGACATATCATTAATGGAGCTTTCAACATCATCCATGTCTTCAAAACCAGGACATATCATGCAAAACCCATCTCCTAGGTTTCAGCCTCAGACAAGATCTCCTCATCATCATGACCAGCATCAACATCTCTCAAATCCTTACCCAACAACATTTGTTCAAGCAGACACTTCCACTTTCAAACAAGTTGTTCAGATGCTCACCGGCTCTTCCACCGATACCACCACCGGAAAACACCACGAAGCTCCTTCTTTGGCGAACAACAACAACGGCAAAGGAGGTTTCTCGATTCCACCCATCAAGAAAACGAGCAGCTTCAAGCTCTACGAAAGAAGACAAAACAATAACAACATGTTTGCCAAGAATGATCTAATGATCAATACTTTAAGGCTTCAAAATTCCCAGAGATTGATGTTCTCAGGAGGAAACAGTACTGCTCATCAAAGCCCAAGATTCTCTCCGAGGAACAGCTCATCAGAGAATATACTTCTGTCTCCAAGCATGCTAGATTTCCCGAAGCTAGGGCTAAACAGTCCCGTGACGCCACTAAGAAGCAACGATGACCCCTTTAACAAGTCATCGCCTTTATCATTAGGGAACTCATCTGAAGAAGACAAAGCCATTGCTGAGAAAGGCTTTTATCTTCATCCTTCTCCAATCTCAACTCCTAAAGACTCGCAGCCACTGCTTCTTCCTCTTTTTCCGGTTTCTTCTCCGACGAATCCATAAATCCCGACGACGACGACCCACGAGTGATTACATTCGATATATTTATATTAAATTATATATATATTCCCGGATTTTGTTTAACTATAACTAAGATGTATAAGTTCTTAGTAATGGAGTGACTGTAAAGTTTATGCGGTTTTTTCACTTTTATTCTCAATAATTCATTGCAATCTATGTAATTCGAAGGTATATATATATTCATGAGTCATGATACTGATTTAAGGCTTGTTATATTTTTTTTTTAAATGAAAATATTGTTTATAGTTTTGCAATGGATATATATGATTCAACGTATGCCACTCAATATTGAGATCGAATATAGAGAATAAATACATGCGTATGCTTCGAATTTTATGATACAGACTTAATATTCCTAAATTTATGTCAAAAGTTTAAATTTTAACTTCAACGAAACAGAAAACGAAATATCAGAGTTTTGAATATGTTGGTTGCAATTGGGAAACATGAGTGGATCGAATGGTCTTTGTCAATAAGTATTTATCGGAAGTTTGACTAGTAATATGAAAACATTGTAATATCCTTAATAATATTAGAAAGTTTCAAAGAGACAAATATGAAATAGAGACTCTCGAGTCTTGAAAGATATTTCTGACCAGGTTCGACACGTAGTATGGACCATTTCGGTGTGATGACTTTGAATTTGTTGGAGTAATCATGGAGGCACGTCTGCTCTTTTTACTACATTTTTTTTGGACTTTCTCTCATATCTTCTTCGTATTTTCTTTATACTGTTCAATATGTTGCTTTGTCTTTTGACTTGAAATGAACCCAAAAAAAACTGTGAATGAAAATGGGGATTCAAATAAAAAATAAGATAAATTAACAAAAGGTGGAGAGAAAGAGTAAAAGAAAGTAAAAGACGAAATAAGTAGTCCGTTATGATGAGAGTTGAAAACCAAGCAAAAGGCGAATCATCTTTGCTTCACATTACAAGCAACTCCACTTTGAATTTTGCCCCCTTTTTTCTACTCCCATTATCTGAAATTTCCGATATTTGGGTATACAATTTTTTAGATAATATATTATGCGACCTAGCAACTTACATGTTTTTTTTTCAGTATTATATCAACCAAATTCATGACTAGCCACTAATAATACAGTTTATCTCCTTTTTTATATATAATAAAGTATATATTGCAAATATATATACTTTTTATTTTGCTTATTGTTTTTTCCTTCGGGTTACTTTTTAGAAAATATGATATCCATTTAAAAATGCTAGTCAACTATTACATTTTTCTTTTGTCAACTTTAGTATATTAACCGAAAAGAATGTTTAGACAGGGGAAAGTCATTGCAGAAGCCCATCATTGATGCGTTTAAGAACTAGCATTTCTTAAACAATTTGTTAGCTAGTAGTACAAGATCCATTAATGCAGTTTAACTAATTCACATCAGCATAACGTTCAAGACATTAATTACTAATTTTGAATAGCCAATATGTTTAGTGTTAACCGTACAAGGCATTAAAAGTTTAAAACCATAATTCAGGATATGACATTTGCTCAAATCACATTTGAGTTCCATTTCCCCCACCCCTCTGAAAATACGCAAATGGAACATGGAATTTTAATTAAAAAAAAAACATTCGGCTTTGTCTAATTCTATACGGATTTTTCTTTTTGTAAGAAGTTATAATATTATTATAGTTTTTTAAAAAAATGTACTTCCATATAGACAAAGAAAGTTTCCGACCAGTTTCTAAATGAATAGTTGTCCCAATGGTTGCATTTTGTCGACTTTTAACAAGGAACATAATTCACATGCATGAACCTGATTTTACTGATTTCAATAATAAATCTGATATGAGCTTTGTCAAGCTCTACGTTTAGATTACTGTTATCAATTCTACAGTCTCTACTTATTTGGTAACCAGTGTTCAAACCAAAGTAGAATTCTATGAGAAAACATACACAGTAGAGAAACCTCTAGATTTGGGAGAATGAGATGTGACAGTCTTGAACTGCTCCTTGTAAACGGTGAGCTTAAAACAGTACAAACATTTTTTATGTTTGTTTTTTAAGTTGGCTCACAATTATTACGTTTTGCCCATTTTTATCAACAAGCATAACTCACATGCATGAGTAAAAGTTTGCTGATTTCACTATGGAAAAAAAAACGATTTGAGCTTTGTCAAGCTCTATATGTAAACTTATTATCAATTCTGCTTATTTGAAATCGGTGCTCAAATCAAAGTACAACAACTCCATGAGAATACAGACACAACAGAGGAACCTCTCTATATTTGGGAGAAAGATGTGACAGTCTTGAAACCGTGATTCTCTGGTAAGGAAGCGTTTCCAGGTCTAATCGATATAATCGCCTCCAGACCTTGAATAGACCCACAAAAAGTCAGTTTCTCAAAACAAAATCTCTAATCGGTTTTTGAAGTAAAAAGATGGGAGCTACAGTTTTTTGTGTGCGTCTTTTTTTTTACCTGCGGCATTAGCAGCTGTGGCTTCTTGATAAACATCAGTCACAAACAGAATCTCTGAAGGATCATCCACTCCTAATGTTTCTGTAATCTCCTTGTAACTCCTGCTTTCTTTCTTGTTTCTGCAGCCAAGAAGCTTATGAGATTTTGTAGTTGGGATCATATTTAAATGGAAGCCATAGATCTTTTACATACCCGATCGTAGTGTCGAAAAAGCCAGATAAATACTTCCTCAGATCTCCATAGTTTGTGTTCCCAAAGAGAAGCCTTTGCGCTAAACGACTACCACTAGAATATATGTAAACCTATTCACATGAAAACATTAGACCTTGCACACAAAAAATGTCATTTCTCTAAAAAGCTACATGAACAGACCTTAATTCCAGAAGAATGCCATTTCTCTAGTGCTTCTGCTACGTCCTCGAACACAACAGATTTCAGTTCATTGCACTCAAAACCTGTTCGCCATATGTGACCCTGCATACATATTTTCATATACTCATATGTCAGACATTATCAAAATCAACAAAAAGGTGGAATCTTGTTTTGTTACTCACTTGCAATTCCTTTAAAGCAGTGATCTTTCTATCGGCTTTGATCATTGCCTCTACATTAGAGACCATAGCAGCAATGACCTTGTCTTGTCCTTCATCAGCATGAGGGATAGGAGAAGCGCCGGTTACACCCTGTCTCAAGTCTTCCTCAACCTGCAACAAATACCAGAGATGGTGATCATTTGGTCACTTGTCCATGAGAAGAGATGATAAGACAATCAATAAAATGTGTAGAGGAACATTACTTGAGACCGCAACAACTTTATATCCTCTTGGGTTTCTGCTGTGTCGTATGTCAAATTCAAATGCTTTCCAACGTTTTCACGAGCGTAGGGAAAGAGAACATCAGTGACGAATGTTATGGGCGTGGTTGTTCCTTCAATGTCGAGGACAATGCATCTCTGTGCAACCAAAGAGAAAGGCTTTTAGAGATATAACACAAAAGAGAGAGATCTCAGTGACTTTATACCCGAGGCGGTTCTGTTTGGTTTTGTGAATCATTGACTGCGGATTTCACAGATAAGTTCGTGGAAATTTGATTCTGAGAATGTATGGCTCTTTGGATAGGCCCGTGGTCTGGGGTAGCAGCATCCAGACCCAGTTGATGAAGCTTGATAGCAGCATCGAACAGGTAATGGTAACATTCAGCCTGGAAAATGAGAATTAAAAGTTTACAAATAGAAGCAAACAGGATATGAAGCATGAACATAGCATAACAAAACATTATAGAACTTCTTGTTGGCTTCTCAAGTTTCAACTAATAATTGAGTAAGTGGTACTACAAACCTGTGTCTTAGCATGGATCCAAGAATCGCCCCAAATGTAAACTCCGTGATTGCGTACCAACACAGCTGTTGCTTTTGGATAGGCTTCGATCTGAAAATGGGAGTCAAATATGTCAAAACTAATGAAAGCCATTCTTTTGTTGCACATAATCAAATTCTAGCTTCCTCGGTATAAATAGACATACAGCTTTGGTGATTGAATCTGTTAGCTCATTCTCATAAGCTGTGTTCTCTATGATTGGGACAACGAGTTCATCATAGTATCCGTGACCTTGAATCCCTTTTATCATCTCCATGTGAGTGATCTGCGATATGTCAGATATGAAGAAACATTAAGATACAAAGTTTTAACATGTTTTTAGGAACTTGGAATTGTCTAACATTCAGGCTTACACGAAATTCTTTGGCTTGTGGATTAAGCATTGTCACGAGACAAGATTCCATGCCATGACTGTGAATAACAGCTCCAGCATTTCGCATCTCATATGCCTGCACCACAACGTTAAAGAGTACCTCGTAAGAGTTCTTCACCAAGCGCTAAAAACTATAACAAAGCCAATGATCTCATATGAAATGAAAAATGAGAAATCATACAAGCAGAACAAGGAAATTTGGTAGAATGAAAACTGAGATACGTGCTTGAAATTACAATTAACACTAAAACAGGCCACATACAACTTGTTAAACACACAACTTAGTGACGCAAAAAGAGATTGTCTTTACATACATGCAAATCAAATGCAAGTTTACACATTACATCTTGCAATCGCACTGGTCAACTGAACCCAAGAAAAAATCCTTTTTGTTCTTCTATGGTGTTTCTTTCTGTGATAAGTAAAGAAAAATTTACAACCAAAGCCTTCAAAAGTGTCTGTGCAAACATCAATAGAACTCTACATATTCTGAGCCCATTTGGGTTTGTTCTAACACTTGACTGAATCCATTTCTACCAGTGCAACTTAGTGGAGTTTCTATGGGTCGAAGAAACCCACTGTCACACCCAACGAGGACTATTGCTCAGACTGGACAAGTTTTACCTTGTAACCGAGTTTTCGCAAGCGTTTCCCCAAAGAAAGCCGCCTGTTCTGCACTTTCTTGTTTCGTAATCCAACAGGCATTAGGAAACAAACAACGTATTTGCCATTCCAGAATAAAATCACCAGCTACATGGGAGGAAAGGGAAAAAACGCAAAATACCACTAGAAA